CTTATCTAGAAGACTATTAATATGTTTCTACTAGATAGTGCCAGTCTAATTCAAGAACTCAATTTCCTTCCGTCTTGAAAAAACACACCTCATACCTATTAGCATCGCCTGGCTCAAAACTGGAAAACTCACTTCTGTTCTCATTCCATTGGTAAGAACTAGAAACATGCCCATACTTAGTTTGCAAGAGGTGCTCAGAATTGAAGTCCTTGGATGGAAAGCTGCTCCCCAGGACATTTCAACACTGTGGAGTACAATAGTGCCAGTGCCACATTTAAAGCAAATGAGAACCAGGAAGGAAGAAGCCAAAGTCAGAGAGACCTAAAGAAGAAATATACAATTTTTGCAGTAACACACCAATTAGTCCATAAAAGCTCTTGGATCTGTCAGTCATATTCCATATGACCCCTGACATTCACTCTCAATTGCCTTTTATAAATATATTGCTCCAAGACTGACTTAGAGCAAGAAAGTTTTACAAAGACCTGACAATCCAATATCTCATCTTAATTTCATGCAGTTCATATTCTTCATCATATGATGGTCCACAGTCCATTACTGAAGGATCAGGTATTCCTATTCTGTGAACAAGGAGATCAAAAAATATACTCCCAGTCTATCTTTAATTTCTTCTTCTAGTTCTAAGGTTTTTCTTGTACCACTTATGATTTTCCAGTGCCAAATGCATCATGAAGTCATAGCAGAATCTATGTTATCTAAATTTTACTATCAGGGTTCTGATTTTTTCTATCCAAAGGGTACGCAAAAGCCTGCCCATTCTTCCATATGGAGATGAATCAAGATTTCTAACATGTAATGAAGGAGTGACCAGACTCAAAGCTTTTGCCCATCTGACTTTATTCTAATTCTTGAGGAGAAACATGAATCTTCTACAAACTGAATTTATTAGCACAAAAGACAACAGTAGAATAACAAAAATAAAGGTTTTTGTAATTGTTTCATACCTAAATGGAAGTTACATAAATAGAATGTCATTGTGTACAATTACTCTAGATTTGTGCCCAATTGGGGAGCACAAATCTAAGCTCTCATCTGTTCATACTTTTTCAAGTATGCAGGCACCACAAAAAATGTCCGAGCAGAAAGTGAATTGAGCACTTCTCTGGGATCATATGGATTTCTTCAATCTGAGATGAAGTATAACTTCTAGAAAACATGCATAAGGGAGAAGCCAATTTTTAACCTACATTTTAGGCATCACAGGCAGCTTCAAAATTAATTCAGATACATAGCAGGCAAAGTTTTGACTAAATATATCATCACATAAAATGAGTTAAACATACTCTTTGCCTTCAAATATATAGTTTAGCTGTGAGGGGTAGATACTCCAAATATATATATACATACACACACGTATATATACATGTACATATACACATATATATGTGTATATATATGCACTCACATATATACATATGTGTGTATATACTTTCGAACTAAAAATGTATACATGCTCATTCATAACACATCTTTATGAAAACTGTGAATGGACATTTTGAATATTTATGATTTGAAGATTACCAAAATACATGTTCATTTACGTTAACATACTCTGAAATGTCAAAATGTAAACCAATAAATAACTTAGTTTGATTAGGTCACCCTCCATTACTCCCTTTTTTGTTACTGTTTTTTGGTTTTTGTTTTGTTTTGTTTCTGTTTGTTTGCATTTTTTTTCCTTTCATTATTCCCTTTATTCTGTAGTATAGACAGGTCAGAGTACAAGAAGCATCATTCTTACCATATTCTTTGTGATTGGTGCTCCTCAGAGTTGTATAGTCCATCAGTGTCAAGCTCAAGGCCAGCATTGAGCACCATGGTAAGATGGACTGAGAAAGGAAAACTTCCTCTCTGCTACACTCATGATAGCTCATTTATTTATATGGTAACTATGATGTGTTCATTGGGTATTTAGTTAAAACATTTGTGCTCAAACATGTTTTGGCCATAGGCGAGATATTACAAAACTTACTTCAACTCTCTGAAGTTTTAACCCAGTTTTTACACAGGAATAATGATACCTTCCATACACACTGTTATGAGGCTTGGATTAGACTAACGTCATCAAGCTAAATAACCATGCTCAAGTGCTCAGAATTGATAGAGTCTACTATAGAATTGAGGGTGTATTCTCATGAGAAGAATAGAAACATATGGGATGTCTCAAACAAAAAGGGATGTCTTAAGGTCATTTTTATTTACAGACTAGCCCTGAGGAATGCAATCTCTCATGAATATATTAAGTTTGCAAATCAGCAAGTGAGTGGGAATCTATCCATTCTGATTAGTGTCTCTACCCCCACAGACAGGAGATTTCAAATATCTCAAATGTCAGTGTTCCAGCACTGAGCAAGCTGCTCTCAACTTCTATTCTGTCTGCCTTACTATTAATTAAGGCCTACAAAAAACCTGTTTCATGTCTTGCTATCCATGCACACATCTTTTGCCTTCCCAGATCGAAAGTGGCTTTCAATCTTTGATCACATCTTTCTTACCTTTGCATGCTTCCAATTTTCAGCACACATCCTGTGAGCATAGTAAGTGCTCAATAAATGTTAGTTGAATTGAGGAGTGCTAAGAAGCAAAGTAAGTAACATGTTGGTGAACGAAATATGTATTATAAGGCATTCTATACTTTGAAGGACTTGGAAGTAAAACAAAGAATCTAGGGACTTTTAGTAATTGAGTTGGGGCTGTAGCTACGAGAGGGTTGCATACACAGAATCAAATCACATAGGCGAGTGTTGGCAGCAGCCTGGCGGGAAAGAACAGTTTGTGCTCTCCAGATACACACCAAATAAGTTTGGAGAAATATAGTAATTGTGACTAATATGAAATTGACAAGAGAATGGGGAACCAGCTTGCCATCTGATTACTACTTAGTCAATATTCAAGCTTATAAGAAAGTGAACAGATGTTAGCCAAAGCAGATGTGAAAATACACATAATAAAGACTAAAGGGATTTTGCCACCTGCTTATAAAAGTCTATATTTTGGATGAAAAAACATTCAAATTAATTCAACAAAATGAGGTACATTTGGCTCATGTATTCCATTTTTGCTCATTTATTTCATTTCCAACAAAGTTTATCAAAAGTTTGAGATTAGGCAGTTGACAAAAATCTCTCATCAATTGTGCAGCTCAGCAATCCAAAACCATTCCTCTTTTCCTTGGCAGGGTCCAGCAAAGGACCTGAGTGGGGATTTCTTTCTTATAACAAGGAGTGTTACCAAAACAGGTAGGATGAAAGAGTTGAAAATATCAAGAACCTGAAGTTCAGAAGTCAGAAGGCTACAAAATCATGTGAGGCCCAAGCATCATTTGTTTTAAGGATTCAGGTAATTCTAATATATAGCTAATGTTTGAGAAATACTCGGTTAGAGATAAGACAGACCTTCCCAAAAGCTAATAATGGGACTTGACAACCAAATTCTCAGCCATTCTCTGGAACCTAACTTGAGGGGGAAGAAAGTAGCAGCAAATACTTCATGATATCAGCTCCAGTCAAACACATTTGATTTCACAACTCTGGGCAAGAAAGGACAAGAAGAAGGAGTTGTATAACATGGTGATACAGTTAATAACAATGTACTGTATTCTTGAAAATTGCTAAGATTAGATATTAAGTGTTCTCAACACACACAAAAATTATGTCTGTGCAGTAATGCATATGTTAATTAGCTCAATTTAGCCAATCCAGAATGTATACATATTGCAAAACATGTTGTATACTATATCTATGCAATTTTTATTTATCAATTAAATACACAAGTAAAAAAGGAGGAAAAGGAGGAGGAAGAGGAGGAGGAAGAAAGGAAAAGGGAATGAGAAGTAGGAGGAAGAGAAAGAGCAGGAAGAGAAATAGGAAGAGGAAGAGGAAATATATTAATAACAGCAGCAAACACAAACTCTGTGCCAGGCACTGTGCTAAGTGCTTTGAACTCAAAGCTCAGAATAACCCTGTGTGGTACATGGCTACACTCTCCGGAAGAAGCTACATTTTCCAGTTTTCTCCTTTGCTACATTTGAAATAGATGTTGGTATCCCTGCAAACTGAGCAAATTTTATAACCTGTTTCTTGCCTGTAGGATGTTGGGGCTCCTGGGTCATTTTAAGTTTCCATTGGCCTGAGACACTCAAGTCCTGGCTCATGGTTTCTTTGACAACACAACAGTCTCAAAAGTTGAGTAGACTTCTTACCTGTTTGATGGTAGTCAACTCATAAGCCAAAAGTCATAGCCATTGATTGTTTTTTTCTAGAGATCATTCTTGATCTGCTCCATTTCTTCACTCTTTCAACCCCTTATTGCTAGACTTAGTGGTGAATAACTTGGGCTCATCTGGCTTCCTGGGTAGACCTGTACTTCCAGCCTTTTTTTCCTAAGAGGCTTTGTCCAATTGATATAATGTGTGGGTCATCACTTAACCCACTCAGAGTTTTGAACAGTGAATGGGACAGCTGTACCCTTGCTTTGATCACTACTATAAGTATTAACTTTAATCCACTTGGTACCTTGAAGAATTTCTAGATCTTATATTTTTATTTGTTGTAAAGAAGAGTGCCTTTCCACTCTACATATTGCCAAATTTGTGGATATTTTCTAATCCCTTTCATTCATGTTTGCAAATCAGGGTGTTCTCTTCTAAGGTCATCTCTTTGACTAACACATTGTGAAATGTAGCCAACATAACCAAACACTGCTAATATTTATATTTCCAATGTCTTTCCCTGGGACCATATGTTCATTAGTTACCTGATCTGCTTTCCATGTCACCAAAGATTTTATCAAATAACTTTCACTGAAAAGTAATGGAATATCATCCCTCTAAATTCTGATAATAGGCTTGCTGTCTACATCCAGTTTTTTAAGGCAATGCCATATATTTACGTTGTTACGGCAGCATCTTACTTTGAGTTACCAATTAATCACCTTAAATACTCAGTGCTGTAAAGTAGTATGGTTTATTTCTCACTCACATTTTATGTCCATTGCAGGTCAGTCAGGGCCTCTGCTCCATGTGGTCTTTACTCCTGATGATAGAGGAGTCACTATCTGGATTCTTATAAGTTGCTGTGGTGAAGTAAAAATGCAGCTTTTCATTTCTGTTTCACAACAGAAATCTGATTCTCCATCTGAAAGTGAATGGTGTTCCTATCTTTTATAACCCCTTGGCTAATATTAGTCACACAGTCCCACCTACAGGAGGGCTAGACAACACAATCCTACCATTAGCCGAACAGTACTATTGAGGACCAATCTTGTCTCCACACTATTGCTAGAGTGACCCAAGTAAATTATGTCAGATTGTGCCATTCAAAGCACCTCCAATTGCTTCCCACACCACTCAGCAAAAGAGCCAAAGTTCGAACGATGGCCTCCATAGTCCTCCATCATCTGGCCTCCTGCTACCTTTTGGCTGCATCTCCCATCCTTTCCCCTCCTCTCTGCTCCAGCTGCACCAGTATTTTTAAAATACAAGGTTCTTAAAAATTACTTTTATCTATTTTATTCACTGGAAGATCTTAAGAGCCTGGTACTACTAGTTGCTCAATGAGTACTTCCTGGATGGAGAAATGAATGAATCCATGAACACAATGCTGGTTCCAGGGCAGCAAAGCACTGACTGGGACACAACATACCAGGAAGAGCCTTGGATTTTTTGGAGGAAAAGAAGAAAAGGAAAAAGAGAAAGATGAAAAGGAAATTAGCAAAAACAAAAAGGAAGTTTTTCTTTTTCCTAATTTTCCCTGTAACTTGTTCAGGTTTGTGAAAGGATCAATATTTAAGAGGACACAATATACTGAAGACAATATTTGAACTTAAATTTCTTATTTCTTCTGTTCATTTTCCTCCCATGACTCTTGATCTCCCACTGATTTGAAAATCTGTCATGCTTACATTATTAGCACTGAAAAAAATGTGGTTAAGGAAAATAAAGATTTCCCAAAATTGTAAACCAAGGGAAGAGTCTGTAAACTCACAGGAAAGAAAGTGAAATATGAACTTCCTATTTCATATTTCAAAATATGAACAGGATATACTTTTACCTTGGAGATCTATCATGATACCTCCCACATGTAGGATGGAGAGATCTAGAAGAAAGAGTCATCAATCTCCTTGACATAACAGGTGGTCTTTTCTCAGTTCAACAAAATAGAAAACTAAGGCAGAGAGCAGTGTAATGAATTGTCTAGAGTCACAGAAATTATGAGCAGCAGAAGTTAAGCCTCTACTACAATTGCTGAGCCCTGAATTATTTGTTTCTTTTCTGCCCTATAGTGCCCACAAGAAGGTCTTATTCTAAATTCAACGAGAGGCAAGATTCGGTCATTTTTGGTTAGCACAGCAAACCTGAGTCAGACAGCAGAATTTGAATTTGAGAAATTAACCTCACATTCTGAAATAATAGATTAAAATATTTAACATAAATCTTTGCAAAAATTTACATATGAGAGAAGTTTGATGGACGTTTGTGAATAAATAGTTTTATATCCTTTTTTTCCTAAGAGAGTAAAAACAGCTATGATTTTGTGTATTGCTCATCTTCGTTTTACAACTCCTGGAACATAGGCTAAGTTTTCTGCTGAGCCAAAAACTGGCCCTAAGTATACACCCACATAAAGACTTAGAGACTGCCTGGCCCAGTATTTTCTGGACATTTTTGACTTGCAAACCCCGTTCACATAACCTTTCAAAACATGAATTTTAAGTTATTTCAATAGTTTTTGTATCCAAAAAGATGCAAATTTAGGTTAGAAATTTCACTTTGTATATCAGTAAATGTTCTTTCACTTAATATATTATTCAGTAGTAGTAACAATATATCATAGAGGCCCAACAACATCAGAATACACATTCTTGAATACACATTCTTCTTAGAGCATTTGCAAAGATTGGCCATAGGCCATAAGACAAGCCCTAATATACATAAAATAATTAAAATTATACAAAGACCACAATAAAATTAAAAATGAAATAAATAACAGAAGGATTTGAGAAAGTCGCAATTATTTAGAAAGTAAATGATGCATTCCTAATAACCAATGGGTCATGAAGAAATCACAAGGGTAATTAGAAAATACCTTGAGATGAAAGAAAATAAAAGCACAACATACCAAAACTTGTAGCTATAGATAAATCAGTACTCAGATGTCACATATGCAGTGGCAGAAATTTTGAGCTAATGATGAACTAAGTCATGAGCACACCTAATTAAGTGCAACTAACTATTCCCAGAATGTGTACCTGAACAGTATCAGACTGCCCTATTTAAAAGGAGACTATCATCAACTTTGACTTGAACTACTTCTTACCTTCATCCTCTAAGCATTTGCAAGCAGTTGATTTTGGCCAACCAAGCCGTTATGCAGATAAAGAATCTGAGTTCTAGAAAGGATGACATTTGTTCACTGTCACACAGACGAGTAGTGACAGAGCCAGTAGGTAAAGATAGTCTTTTGGTGACTTTTGCATCCAACCATGCTTACACCAGCCACTTTTCACACATCCATGGCTGCCAACTCATGAGTTTGGTGCTGTTATTAATAAAGCAAGATGGCATATGTTTTGTTTCCATGCCACATCATAAACAAACCATACCATGAAGGCACTCAAATTACATATAAATCATGTTTATCTTTCTGAGGTTAGTAAGTCACAATTTGTTTTCTTCCTGTATGATGAAATCATCTTCTTGATTTTAGAAATTGCTTTGCTTTGGTCCAGCCTCTTGGGGTAAATACTTGCATAATTGTATGCAGTGGTACAGATAAAATACGTCCTGAAATTTGTGCAGCTGCTCTTTTTTGAAGTTACCTCTGGAGATGATTATCTGGTATCACGACTACATAAGGACTGCAGGATTAAAATAGGTGTCCCCTTTTGTTAATAAATACAGCAATTGTGTCTTTGGCAGGGAATCCATATAGTTTCTTGCTCTCTTCTATGGACTATAGATCATGATGCTTGCCATACTGGAATTTATCTTTCAAGGAATGTTCAAAGGACTTATAATAAGCTTAGATCTCATTCAAATCAGGATCAAATTCTTTTTGTCACACGCATATGGAAAACAGTAAATTGTTTGGAACTTTTTGGAGTTTGGTATGTTCTAACAGGAAGACTCTGTCCCCTGTTCTCCTCCCTTCTTATAGGGCAGGCGCGAAAACACACACACGTCAGTGGGGAAGTAGCAGAATACTTGGGTGTATGGCAGCCTTAGTCTATATGTTAGGTGTTTAGAGGAACTGCTGATAAGACTGGCTACTCAGAATATAGAAAACTTGGGGCTGAGAGAAAGTTGCACTCATCCTGCTAGGAATAAAAATCTTTCTCACCTATTGAAGTCAAACTCAGGAGCAACTCCACCACTGGGAAAGAGGGAATGGCTGCATTTGAACATATCATCTAGTACGCGCTCACAGAATCACTATAATCCTGTATGCTGAAACATGGGGTCTTTTAAAGGCTTCAGTAGTAATACCACTCATCCTCACCTAGGTTTTGAGTAAAATGAGAAACAAAACAAAAAGTTAAGTCCAATGGGAGACCCGATCATGACATCATTTCTGCTAAAGACTACGTGGGAAGATACAACTCAGGATGAGGCCATATGTGTTTCCTAATACTGAACTCTAGAATCAAATAGACTTTCCCACCCTGTCAGCAGCAATTCTGGACCTAGGAAGACTCTATAGGGAAGACCCACAGCACTGAGGGGCTGAGGATGTATGACCTCTAGGACCAGATCTGATCATAAGAGACAGAAAGGGGAGCTGGGTCAAGCACGTTCCACTTTTTCTTCTCATTATTACCAATTTGAAAAATGATCATACCTTCCTTGAAGGAGAGTGAGTGAAGCAGGTGGAGGCAGCTCAGGAGTGTCATACAAGTGGAGCTCATTCCCATGAAAGGTGACATCAGGGGTGAGAAACAAGCGGCCCATGCCAGGAGTATCCGATTTATTATTAATCTTTATTAAAGTATCCTACACCACAAGAGCATATTTGCTAGACAAATTCCATATGTTTAAATGTGTGTGTAAATTTACATCCAGTCAAGTCTGGGTTCTGCGCTGATGATAACACATTCCTTGACAGGCTGTTCACTCAGCCATGGCACACTTGCACACAGGCTCTGATCATCCTTCCGTAGGAAGTCACAGTCAGGAGCTTGTCTCCCAGTGATAACGTCTTGGTTCCTTATCACCATGTCCTTGGTATTTGAAGCCATCTCCCTTTAAAGAGCTAATCAAAATAGGAAGTCAGTTACATTGTGTCATCTTCGCCATGCCAGATCAAAGATAGGGGCTAATGGCACAGCCAGAGCTAAGGTAGTTAGGAAATGTCTATATAATGCTAATATCTTTGTTCCAGCCAATGGACGGAGATGACATAAAGCACAGGCCCTTTTTGCAGATATATAAAGGTGTAGTGTACAGGCATTTAGAAACAGGTGATTCAGTTCAACAATGTCAACAATTATAACAATAGATTTTTCACTTTTAAGAGCTATCATTTCTCTAAAATTATTGCTCTTGAATCTGCTCCCTCTTTTTGTCACGTCAGTTCTGGCTTCCTCATCATTTGGGAATTGTCTTTAAGACTACTACATCTTTTTAGGTGTTTCCTTAGGATGTCAAACTGCATGTCTAATTTTTCTGAAACACAAGGAATTCTTTTCCACTTTCATACTCCTTGGATCAGTAAAATAGTTCCACAACTGTCCCTCAAAATGATTTTCCCATAATGGTGTTGGTGTTTTCTTGATGTAATTAGCAAAATACCAACTCTGAATTGGTAATTAAAAAAAAAAACAAAACACTTTTAAAATTAAAAAAAGTCAGGGTTAGAAGAGGTTATTATCTATTTTTCTAGTATGAGTTGATCATAGAAGGATAAGGTTTATATTGGTATCAACAGTACATTTTTTTTTTCTTTCCACTTATCTGAATTACTTGGGTAAGTATTACAAAGATGATTCATCAGGAACCAAGAAAAATGTCACATTCAAGATCACTCAATGAATAATACTTTTGGGACTTACATTTTTATCAACTAAAAAAAAGGTCTCACAATATAAAAATTTCACTACCACCAAGAAAGCCACATCACATTCAGCAACTTTTAAAATGTGCACAACTTAACTTGTATAGAGTCATGGATTGGTAAAAATGGAAGGTTTTATTGTGTTACCTTGTCCATCCTGTGTCTCATATTCAGAAGACTTGCGACAACATCCCTGGTAGGTTTTAAACAATAGAGATACTACAGTCTGAAGCCCTCAATCTATTATGTTAGAAAAGGCAAATCGAAAATTTATGTTACTATTATCTGATACGTTCTATTATCTACTAACTGTCATAATGTGTCTTCTGAAACAAAAGCAACTCAACCCTTTCATTACATGATTGGTGTCCTGTCTTCCTTAAACCTTTTCTTCTCCAAGGCAAATGCTCTGCATCTTTAATTGCTCATGGGACTCATATGGTAGCCATAATCAGTCTGATAATGCTTTTTTTAAATTTCAATTAATAACTATTTAACTGAATAAAATGCCCCCTGGGAAAAACTTTTTCCAAAAATTTAGTTTCTCAGAAGCCAACTCCAGTTTCTCATCATTTTGTCTTATTTCTCCAAAGTGTATGTGAAGTAGACACTCATTTTTCTGGCATTCCCTGGAATCTTTACCATAATTTGGGAAATAACCATTTTGATTTTTCCAATTGTCCCTTGGCAATGTAACACAATCACACTGTAACTCAATACTGTTCAGATAAGGTCTGGTCAAACAGATTGAGAAGTTCACATCAGAGTTAAACCAGGTCAATGAAATGAAAACACGAGAATTTTCCTGGCATTCTGTTTAAGCTGGTCAATCAGAAGCCTGGAGCTGGCCCTCTTTGGGACAGCCTGCTTGAGAATGAAACCAATACCATCAAGAAATAGAGGAGAGACTGAGCGAAGCAATGTTCCAACGATCAGTATTTGAAGTTCTGGCTGAAGTTAGACTTGCTCTGTTAGCTTCTCAGTTACAAATACACATCTGTCTTCTTTCCTGTTTAAACCAGATTGAGTAGCATTTTGACCAATGTCTTCCAAAAGCTTCCTAATTAATATACTAGATATACAGATATATATGTTAAAATATATACATGTATGTGTATAATATATACAGTGAGTTTATTGAGAGAGAGCGAGAGATCCTTTTTATAGAGATGTAGATATAACATTTGACTTATGGTACATAGAATAAGATTTATCTTCTTCATCTGAAACATTGTGTTATTACTATATTATCATTGGTTCAAACATGTCTTCTTTTTATGTTTTATTTTATCAGATGTTTCCCCCTTCAAGTCAGCCTTTTTGCATGCTTCTCCTCCCAATCCACCCCTTACAAGTTTTAGTTTTTACATATATGTATGTCAACATACAATACCTAGCAACACTTTTAATGTATTTTTTATTTGCATAGATAGCATTAAGCTATATGACCCTTCAGCTTATCGTTAATAGCATTTTGATCCATTCATATTATTACATGTACAACTAGTTCATGTATTTTGGGTCCAGTGTAGTAGGCCCTCATATGAAAATTTTACACTTTGTTTTCCCATTTATGTATTTCTAGATTGTTTTCAAGTCTTTGCTACTTCAAACAATGCTATTATTAACATTCTCATATGTGTTTCTTTCAGTATCTGGGCAAGTCATTTTCTGAAGTGCACACTTAAAGGTGCAGTTTCTGGGTGTTACAATATGCACATATTCAATTTCCCTCAATCCTGCCAAATTGTTCTCCAAAATAGCTGTACCATTTTCCCTTCTACAGATGTGCATAAAGGTTTCTTTTTCTCCATATCCTCCTGACCCCTTGGTTTATCTTTTCTGGATATTCTTTCTCTCCCCTTGGTCACATATTAGTCATTGAAATCATTTGCAGAACTTGGATTTTGTTTTCTGATTTGTTGGTCATGACTATAATTATAATTTGTCTCCTCAGAAAGCAATTTTCCCCAACCAGTCTCAGGCCGTGACTGACAGCCTGCATTATTTCTTAATTCTATTTGAAATTTATTACTATCTTTTCAAGGAAGAGAAGAACAATTGTACAAATTGTGCAATTTCCTGCGATAGCATTTCCTAAAAACCTATGAAACAAAGATCTTCATCCTTCTCAAACTCTTCCTAACGGCATTTTCTCTAAATGATCTTTTATGATTTATCATTTTTTATTGAATGATTCCCTCACACCTCATTTCCGTCATTGTACATAGTGCTGTTTGACCAAGTGTAACATAAATTCCCCTTGCAAAAGAAAAATAGAAGAATCAGAAAAAATTAATTTTATTTTTCCAGCAATCACTTTGCAACTTCCTATGTTGCAAACATGGATAAGAATCCTAATATCCCCAGACTGTCTGAGGGTCTGGGCCATGTTCCCCTTTTATCCTGGAAGTGAAACAAAGGAAATAGCCCATCTTGTAAAACCCTCATTCAAATTCCACTCTCTATGTGATGGGCTTCCTACAACTGCTACATAAAGTGTCAATTGAAACCAGCCTTGTCATAGAGACTTTTACAAAATATGAACAGTGCTAAATACCTCAAAGTGAATCGATTTCTACTGAAAGTGTTTTAACCTCCCTTTAGGTCAAGAAATAGCAATTTTCTGAGCTTCACTGTAACCTGAGAATTAATCCTAAGAGGCAGGTGTGCACTGCATACATCATTTGTTTCATGAAATTTATTGAAGATGCCTTTGTATAGGACTGTCCTAGTAACGCTTTTCCCTTCCTTCAGGCAGAGGTGCGGTTCTGGAGCAATGGAGTGGTGACACTTGGAGGGTATTCTTTCTACTAGAGATTGTTTCTTTGTTACTTTCTTTTCTTTTTTTTTGGAACAATGTCTCGTTCTGTCACCCAAGTTGGAGTGCAGTGGCGTCATCTCAGCTCACTGCAACCTCCGCGTCCTGGGTTCACGCCATTCTCCTGCCTCAGCCTCCCGAGTAGCTGGGATTACAGGCAACCACCACCATGCCCAGCTAATTTTTGTATTTTTAGTAGAGACAGGGTTTCACCATGTTGGTCAGGCTGGTCTGGAACTCCTGATCTCATGATCCACCCGCCTCAGCCTCCCAAAGTGCTGGGATTACAGGTGTGAGCCACCACGCCCAGCCAATTTGTTACTTTCTTTAAAAACAAAATTAGGTTCGACTACTTAAGATGTGAGCCTCTTTTAAATTCGTAAAGGTGGAATGGGCATTGGGTAAATTTTACAGATGAACGAACTGAGGCTCTGAGAGGTTAAAGACTTTAGCAAGGATTCACAGCTGGGGTTATGACGTGCTAGACCCGAGCACAGGGCATACTCATGAACTGGAAGAGAAAGTACTGGCAAAGAACAAAGTGACACACACAATGGATAATGGAGATTGCTTCCGTATGGCCTATGCTCTGTAGGACTGACATCTCAGAGTAGGGGCTCATATGTATGGGATAGTAACAATGATGATAATTATTGGCTCTAACAGTGACTGCTCACCATGTTCCAGACACTATTACTAGTCCAGATACTTTATTAACTTATTGAACCCTTCCAACAGCTCTATGAATAACTGTTACTGTCTCCACTGTAATGCTAAAGAAACTCAGAGAACTTAAGCCAGCAACTCAGAATAACACAGCAAGAAGCCAAGCCGAGTGCATAATCACAGCTGCGCACCAGCACCCGTATGCTTAAAAACTGCATGCCTTGCCTCTGCAACCTAAACAGTACCACACAGAAACTCTACACACGTGCTTTCTTGGATGGAAAAATACCTATCCAAATACAGGCAGTATAAAATCATTGTTTCCTACAACCTAGCCTGTCTAGAAGCTGTGCTCTCTTACCCAGAGTCGAGAGACTCTTTAGATCTAGATCTCTTAAGCATCCACGGTTCAGTTTTTCTTTTCTTTGCCTGTGCAAGACATGGAAAGGCAACCCATATTCTTCTCTTATTTCACTCTTCACTAAATAATATTGCACAGCCATTTCAGAAGCTAGACAGGACTCATTCTGTAGGAAAATTATCTTGGCTTCTTTCTGCCCTGGGCCCTGAAACACTGTTACTAATAAGAGCCTGTCTTTCTAGTACTGAGATGCCCAGTAGAGAGTGTGAATCAGCCCAGGAAATGAGTATTGGTCCTATGAAATCAGTCAGTCCCTTGACCCTCTTCAATTCTCAGATGACTTCTCTTCTCTCTGGCACATTATATCATTTTTTCCCCTCTAAATGGTGATGCATTTACTGATCACTAATATAATTCTTCATTCCTGGGTCAAGGGAGACTTTATGCTGACATATAGGTTGGAAGAAGGAATGGAAACAATTATTTATGTAGAAGAATGACTCAAACGCTCACTCGTGTTTTCATTTTTTTCTACGGCTCTAGCGAAAGGTCCAAAATGATGTCCTAAGAAGGCTATAGGGGAAAACAGACACGAGTTGTCTCTGCTGTTTGCTGTCAGTTGTATCTGTCTTCTTCCATTTATTCATTAAAGAATAACTTATCCCTGGTCCGTAAGGAGGAATTCAGCAGAATGAGGAATATGTGTTGTCCCAGGGAAAAAACAGAATGGGAAAAGCAATGAACCAAGACAATAAGACGCTGCTTCTCCAAAGCAACTGGGGAGAGAAAGCATTGCAAGTTTAAATAAATAATGGCTATCTTCATATGGTAGATGACAGTGGTGTATTATAATTTTTAAGGAACAAAAGACAAAGTATTGCTATCAATGCAGACTTCCTTCCTAAGACCCAGAAGTATGGCTCATTCCAGTCATGACACAAGATATTGAAAGTCTCTGGAATGATGCTGCTACTGCATGTGTAAATCTAGCCCTAATGCAACTTCTAAGCACTTAAAGTGAATAATAGGTACTATAAGTACCAGGTTTGGATAAAGCTAGGCACCAACATGAAGATACGTGCTTGGTAATGGCAGTATTTGATGGAACACAGCAGGTTCCCCCTCCTGAGTTCCTGAAGGAAAACAACACAGTGTTTAAGGTTAGAGGCTCAGATTCTGTAATGCCTAGGATCAACTCTTGGTCCCAACTTGTATTTGTGATCCTCATCCTCCTAACCCTAAAGTATCTGATCCATAGATTTTTTAGATATTTATCTCCAAATCACCAATCCTCAGTATCACTTAATAATTATATGTATTGCTACCATTTATTACATGTTTATTTAATACATTCTAGATATTTTAAGAACCTTTCACACACTGGCAACTTTAGTCCTCCCAGAAACCCTATGAGATAGCTACTGTTATTTTCATACCATTTTTCAAATGAGTAACTGAGGAACAATATGGCTAAATAACTGCACATAGCATTTCCTCAGAAATTCTGAGGAAAGCCCGGATATTCTAACACAGTCTTCACTTCCCTCAAATGAGTTCTTCTGCTATGCCACAGAGAAAGTAGTTACTTGCTTTCAAGAGCTATTATATGATCATCCTTTTAAGTAGGTTTTATTCTAGATTTAAATTGGCTTTGTAATATTCATCCTATTTAACAACAATGTTGTGTGTTGTAGATTTATTTTCCCAACAAACATATGAGATGAATAGCATTGCCAAATCCATCTCCTTCAAAATTCTCTTTGTAATAATCTAGGAGGGCTTCCAGACTAAAGAAAGTTGCTTTTACTGTAGGAGTACTTATTTAATTCAGCTAGACTTTTGTTGGTGTTGTTAACACAATCGTACTGGATGGCTTGTGCATTCATTTTAGTTGCTGTTCCTACTTATTGCCCCAAAGCTGGAAACAGGGAAAAGCTAGCATGAGTACTTCCTAGTTTTTGCACATTTGTAACATTATCCTCAGCTTGTCTGAGGGTCTGGGGTATGTTCCCCTTTTGTCCTGGAAGTGAAACAAAGGAAACGGCCCAATAGTTAGGTTGGAGAAGAAAGTTTGATAAGGTCCATAGACTATTTCTAAGGTCAAGGCACTTACAGAAGGTAGAAAGTCAAGATATCACAGATAAGGTGAATAATCTGTGGAACCAAGGGCAGCACAAGGCTCTGTGTTACAAAAGGTAAACAAAGACCTACTAGTGATCCTGGAATTTAGTTCTTATCAGCCCAGAACCTCCTACTCCACATGCCCAATCCAGAACTGCTAGAGCATGCAGGAAGCCTTACTGTTCACAGAAGATTGAAAGCAAGGATTACTAGAAGTTTCAATGTGAGGGTTATGTTAGATAATGATTTAGCAAGAAATTCAGAATATACCTAAACAAGTCCAATCTGTTTCTTCATCAATTTTGATGTTGGCTTGCATTACCCAAGCAATAAAGGAAGCATTCTTTGTTTCCTGTTAGCATTTGTTTTTCTGCAAGTCAAGAGAGGAAAAGAAGTATTTCAACACAAACAGCCCTGAAGCCACATTTGAACTGTCAATCATCCTCTTCCAGATTTCTAGCATGGACCCTGGTTTTCTAGTGCCCATTAGCAGACGCTTCCTCATCAGGGCCAAGCTAGAGGTGAGAAATAGTGTTGGAGACTGCTTTCAGCTCTGAGAATAAGATTCTTCAGATAGGAACTCATTTTTCCCTACTTTTCACAGAAGACCACAGCTCATGTTCTCACCATGCCTTACAATATTTCCAGGCCTTTCTCCCCATCTTCTTATACCTACATATCCTTCAAGACCCAACTCAACTCAGGCCTCTTCTCTGCCATGGAGGCAGGCGGTTCAGATTGTGGCTTTATCAGTTCCTAGGTATAAAACTGGACAAGTTACTCAACGTCTCTGACCATTGTAAGTTGTGGATCCATAATGCTCACCTTTTAATGCTGCTGGGAGGATTAAATGAGAAAAATGTGTATTGGTGCTTGGCATTTTGGAGGTGTCCACTAAATGCTTTCTTTAGCCTGATATATGTGACTTTCCACGTATTCAAGTCAAGTACTCATCTCATCTGTTGTTAAAGATAAAAACTGCAGGTCAGCAAGGATTTTAGATCTCTAAATTACTTAAGAGAGGTCAGATTTCCCATTAGACAAAACTACAGTATGTTTATTTTTATTAGTATTATCACCATTATTATTAAAGCAGCATTAAAAGCTACTATTTAATGAGCACTTTTATTATTCCACTCAATCTTTTCAACAGCTTTGCTCTAGGTGTTTTTGTTATTTGTTGGAATTACTCCAAAGCTTAGCAGCTTAAAATAGCAACTAACTGGGCTGGGCGTGGTGGCTCACGCCTGTAATCCCAGCACTTTGGGAGGCTGAGGCAGGCAGATCACGAGGTCAGGAGATCAAGACCATCCTGGCTAACACGGTGAACCCGTCCCTACTTAAAAAAAAAAAAAAAAAAAAAATAGCCGGGCGTGGTGGTGGGCACCTGTAGTCCCAGCTACTTGGGAGGCTGAGGCAGGAGAATGGCATGAACCTGGGAGGTGGAACTTGCAGTGAGCCGAGATCGCACAACTACACGCTACCCTGGGAGACAGAGCGAGACTCTGTCTTAAAAAAAAACAAAATAAAAAGCAACTAACTGAATATACCTCATGGATTTGTGGGTAAGAAATGTGAACAGGGCTCAGCAGGACAGTTCTTCTCCTCCACGTGGTATCAGCTGAAGTCACGTGGGACATTCAGCTGCTGGGTAGGCTTATTTGGAGGATCAAAGATGTCTTCATTACTATGTCTGGTGTGGTGCCAGGGATGGCTGGAAGAATGTGCCCTGCTAAGGAAGTCAGTTGAAATGCTGACATAGCCTCTCCAGCTTTGTAGTTTTAGCATAGTCAGCCTTCTTAAGTGGCAGCTTAGAACTCTTAAGCAGGAAACTTAAAAGACCAGTACAATATGGGATGATATGTTGAGGGACTTTATGAAGTTCTTGTTTCTTTTCTTGTGGTTATTTTCGAAAAAGACCAAAGCTGTGCTAATTTACAGACATTATCTGCCAGTGTAACTTGGATGGCATTAATTCCCTCTTCCAACAGTCCAACTCTCTTTGCTCTTTCTCTCTTAGTCTCATCACAAGGTTACCATTTGGTGAAATTTAGAGCAATCTGCATCCTAGTCAGGAAGTAAAAGCTGCCAGTTCCTTAAGGCCTATGTTCAGACATTGCATTTGGCAAATGCAATTCATGATTCATAACAGCATGGTGACTTACCCAAGATCATACATCTAGTGGTAGAAGAATCTTTCAGAAAGGTCTGACACCATGCATACCATCAAGTCTTAGTCAGTCATTTGCATTAGATAGTCTCTCTCTCTCTCTCTCTCTCTCTCTCACACACACACACACACACACACACACACACACACACACACACCAGCAGAGCTGGAAATGATCGCTTATTCAAGCAGTTCTGTTACCTCTGTGTAGAAGTGCCATGGGAATTATAAAGGCAATCAGCTTCCCTGCTGCAACTGAAAAGTTGGTTAATGTATTGGCACTAATACAGCACCTCTTCTCATCACAGCAGAATTGGCTGTTACTGTTATAGCTGGATTATGGCCACTTCTCCTTCCTTTGCAAAATTTAAGTCTGTGATGTTCTCGTCAAGGGAAATGATGATAGAGGTACAGCAGGCTGGTGATTAAATTTGCTCGGCAACAATCTGTAAATAACCTACACATTCCATTTGCTGGCTTTGATTTGGTCCCTCACTTATACAAAGGGCAGACTTCTGGGTATTGCAAGGGAAAACAGGTTGGGGCATGGGCAGGGGGCCACATGGCAGGGGGAGGGGAGGAAAAGCATAATGTGAGAGTCAGGTTGGTCTCACTTCAAATGAGAAGTTATAGGCCAGGCATGATGGCTCATGCCTGTAATCCCAGCACTTTGGGAGGCCAAGGCGGGCAAATCACTTGAGGTCAGGAGTTCGAGACCAGCCTGACCAACATGGCTTAATCCCATCTCTACTAAAAATACAAAAATTAGCCGGGCGTGGTGGCAGTCACCTGTAATCCCAGCTACTCGGGAAGCTCAGGCAGAAGAATCAATTGAACCTGGGAGATGGAGGTTGCAACGAACCAAGATTACACCACTGTGCTCCAGCCTGGGTGACAAGAGTGAAACTCCATCTCAAAAAAAAAAAAAAATTATAAGCACACTGGCATCTTAAGCAACCTCAGGAAAAAAAAAAATTGAAACTGGTCAGTCTTTCTTGCCCTTTTTAACTGTCTACTCTAAATCTCCTTCCTCCTTTGTTCATGTTTTGCCTGTGGCAGGTGGGCTAGTACCATTCACTTCTATTTAGCTGGAGTCTGACAGTGGAATCCAGTCTCTGCTCTCCCTCATTGCAGGTGATTACACTGAAGGAAGCAGTAGAAATGGGAGGCCATTATGCCTGGGTGATAAGATTCCATGAATCTCATAATAAGGGTCCTTCTCAATTTTTGTTCTTTCATTGTGCAGAGGCCCCAAACTCTGTTAAAACTTATGTACAGAAAATGCATTTATCTACAGCCATACCACCCTGAACACGCCCGATCTCATCTGATCTCGGAAAATGCATTTGCACTCTTGCTTTAAATGCCATCAAATGATAACCTGATAAGAGAGAAAGAACCAAGAAATCTGGCCTGTGGACAGAGGGAATGGATGCAATCCAAATTGCACTGGTGGAGAATTTCTATAAATTAGCACAGGTTTGATTCTTTTTATGAATTACAACCACGAGGAAAGAAACAAGGACATCATGAAGTCTCTCCATTCACAATCTCACATTGTATTGGTCTTTTAAGCTAAGTTGTCCTTTTTGCCTCTATGTTGTTTCAAGGAAAGTAAACAGAGGGAAAAGTACTTTCTTTTTCAAAAAGTAGCTTTATGAGGCATACTGTTTTTGTTCCAAGCCATATGATTCAACTATTTTAAGAGCACACTTTAACAATTTTTACTACATTTGCAGAGTTGGGCAACTGTCACCACAATCTAATTTTAGAACATGTCCATCACCCAAAAAGAGATGCTGTATGCACTTACAGTCACTCCATATTCACACCTCCAGCTTCAGGCAACCAGCAATCTTCTTTCTGACTCTCTGGTTTTGCCTTTTCTGGACATTTCATATAAATGGGATTACATGGTTTAATATACAAATTTATTAAATATAAATAGGATAAATGTAATCTCTTATGTTTAGTTTCTCACTTAATTAAATCTTTTTCAGGTTCAACAATATCATATCATATACTAATAGTTCAATCCCTTTTATTGCCAACCATATTCCATTGTATGGATATACCATATTTTGTTTATCATTCATTAGCTGATGGACATTTGTGTCATTCCCACCTTTTAGATACTCTGAACAACGTTGCTATGAATGTGCATGTTCAAGTCTTCATATCGATACACATCTTAATTTCTCTTGGTTGAACATCTAGGAATAGAATTGCTAGATGATATAAAATATCTACAAATATATAAATATAGTTCACATTTTAAGAAACTGCCAAACAATTTTCCAAAGCAGCCGAGCCACTTCACAATTCCAGCAGCAATATATGAGGGTTCAAATCTCTCCATATCTTTACCAAGAATTGTTACAGTCTGACTTTTAAAATTACAGCCATTCTATTGTCTGTGAAGTGGCATCTCATTGTGAGGTGAGCATTCTTAGGATTCTTATGTATTATTACTTCTAAGATTACTGCTGTTAATGAAGAAAATGAAATTCTTTCATATTTCAGGAACAAAATCTGTCTCTTTTCTAGGCACTTAGAGACTCAAAGTAGAATTTTACAAATTTTGTCTGAGGATTAATTCAAGTTATCTTGGCAAATAGATCCAATTATCTCAAAGACATGCATATTAATAGACTGAAATTTTATTTTTAGTGTTATTGTGGAACATGTCAAATTTAAAATTTTTGTTCATTACTGAAAGCACAGCTCCTATATATGGGAGATGTTTTAGTAAAAATGTTTATCTCCTACCACTTCCTACTAAACATGCCCAGGAACCATTGTATGATTTGCTTACATCTTATAAAACACTGATTGTAGCTGGGCATTGTGGCTTATGCCTATAATACCAACACTTTGGGAGGCTGAAGGGGAGGAATGCTTGTGGTCACGAGTTTGAAAGCAGCCTGGACAACATAGTGAGATCCCATCTCCACACATACAAAAAAATTAACTGAGCATGGTGGCTCACATGTGCAGTCCCAGTTACTCAGGAGGCTGAGGTGGTAGGATTGCTTGAACCCAGGAGTTCGAGGTTATAGTAAGGTCCAGCAATTTACATATGCGAAAAACAAGGTTAAAAATAAAATACTGATATAGCTTAATTCCATTTAAACACAGAAGTGTAAGGTATGAAATGCAGCTAATGAAAAAGAACAACCTTCCCAAGTAAAAACAAGCATGCACACACACGCACACACACACCACCAGTGCCACCACCAGGACTACCACCCCACCATGTAATTGTTTAAGGAAGAATTGTATTCAAACTTGAAAACTGACTCATAAGATTGGTTCTCTGCTTTTTAAAGCAAATGGCACTTATTTTGTTAGATCCCAGGATTTCTCAACCTCTGCACTGTTGACATTTTGGCTGGATACTTCTTTGTTGTAGGGGGCTGCCTGTGCATTATAAGATGTTTAGCAGCATCCCTGGTCCCCATCTACTAGACACCAGAAATAACCACCCCCAATCCCACATTGTGACAACCAAAAAAAAAGAAAAAGTCTTCAGACATTGCCAAATGTCCCCCAGGTTGAATCATCCCTGTTCAGAACAACTGATGTAAACTGAAGGTATATGAACTAGATGGGAGAAACTTAATAAATAAACATTGAAATACTTATATAAAAATCACATTGCAACCATTCTGCAATAGCTTACACACTTAACCACAATTATTACTCATCGCATAAGGTATCTTTGCCCTTGAACAAAACAGAGATTTTCTGCCAGCTCCATCCCTATTTCTTGGAAGTAATGCTGTTTCTTTGACCCTTGTTCTCCCTTGTAGTTCAAATGCAGCTTTGTTTACCAAAGTCACATTTGGAAAGGCATCCATCTGTAACAAGCAGTCAGGCCTTTTGTTAATGTTTGCTATTTCAAAAGGTTTAGCTTGTCAAATCTTAAAAAATTCTCTGATATCAAAACCCCCCATCATTGTATGTTAGTTTCATTCATTCAAACATAGTTTCCACTAACAAAGCGACACTTATTTCTTGCAATAAAGAGAAGTACATAATTTGCAGCATTTTTGATAAAATACATCATGAGAAACTGAGGCAAAGACATTTCAAGAGCTTCTCGAAAGAAAAAAGAATTGGAAGAAGCAAGCATTTTCTGAAACATCATAAAGATTTGTGACTGTTTATCCTCCAAGAAACTCTTTTCTTTCTATGCATGATTGATTGATGTCCACTTACAAGAAGAAACTCAATGGAATTATTTAAAATATTAAATATAAGTGCTAAAGTATTGCATAGCTTCATATTCACATAGCCAACTACTCACTAGATAAACTCTCAAAAATCTTACAGAGTCTAAAACTCAATCTAGCCAAAGCTGAATTAATAATATGTCTCCCCCTGCAAAAAAAAATTATCTGTCACAGTGAATGTATCACTTATTTCTTCTTACACTATCTGAAAACCTCAAAATTATATAGACCCAGCTAGTTTCTCATATTCAATGTTTTCATCTCACTGCCATGACCTTTGTGCAGTCCTCATATTTCATTTCTGTAATATTAAAATAAATTAATAGTGTCCTTTTATGGGCTTGTATTTCCCCCAAATTCCTACTTTGAAGCCCCAAACCCCTAGTACCTCGGAATGTGACTGTATTTGGAATACGGCCTTTAAAGGGATAATTAAGTTAAAATAAGGTCTTTGAGGTTGGCCCTAATTCAATGACTGGTGTCCTAATAAGGAGATATTAGGACACACAAAGGGACATGTGAGGTCACAGCAAGAAGGGGGGCATGTGTAAGCCAAGGTGAGAGGCCTCAAGAGAAACCAAACCTGCCAACACCTTGGCCTCGAACTTCCAGCCCTCAGAACTATGAGAAATAAATTTCAGTGTAAGCCACCCAGACTGTGGTATTCTGCTATGGAAGCCCCAGCAAACTAACACATGTAACCATTCTCTTTGGTGCTAGTTTACCTCCCTCTAGTTCTCCCTCCACAGCACAAAAGTAGTGAGACTTTTTTTTTTTTCTGTCTAAACTTCATACCTGGCAGCTCCACATCCAAGCTTGAAACCCTCCAAAGACTCCCAAGTTCTTAGAACAGTGATGTCAAGTTTCATCAGATATGCAAACATCAACAGATTGGTAGTGGTGCCAAGATATCCATGCCCAGAGGATTCAGAGAACACCATTGAACTTGGCAAGAAGAATACCATATGATTGACAAGCAGGCTGTGCATGTGGATGAAGAATGTGATTGCATGCTTGCTTCCATTGCAATCTCCAGCTAGGGGCTAAAATATCTCCTTAGCTTGGCACACCAACAACAACCCTCTGACCTTCTGAATCTCTACCCCTCTTCTCATGCTTCCAGCTCTTGTACACTACACTCTCACCCTAGTCACAGGTCTCTAGAATGTTATGTGATTCCCTGGTTCCATAGTTGAGTTTCTGTTTCATTTCCTGATGGGAATATCTTTTCTACATTACTCACCTTTAGTATATCTACTTCTATTTCTAACCCCAATTATGCAATTTTCTAAATAAAAAATATTTAATCATTTCCAGCATGGAAAAGTACTCTCACATTTTTGTCTCATTGTACTTCATCTACCCTAGCCCCAGAAACACTTTATTGTACTTTGTTTTTACATGGCTACCTTTACCACTAGACAGTGGCCTCCTTAAGATCAGGGATCAGGCCAGGAACAGTGGCTCATGCCTGTAATCCCAGCACCTTGGGAGGCCGAGGGGGGTGGATCACGAGGTCAAGAGATCGAGACCATCCTGGCCAACATGGTGAAACCCTGTCTCTACTAAAAATGCAAAAATTAGCTGGGCATGGTGGTGAGCACCTGTAGTCCCAATTACTCAGGAGGCTGAGGCAAGGGAATCGCTTGAACCCGGAAGGCAGAGGTTGCAGTGAACTGAGGTCACTCACTGCACTCCAGCCTGGGCAACACAGTGAGATTCCATCTCAAAAAAAAAAAAAAATCAGGGATCATGTTTTATTCATCTCTGTATTCTCATGTGCTCACATATTGTGTTTAAATAAATAAAATGAAAGAATAACTAAATAAATGAACATGTAGCTTTGGGCTGAAAGTATTTCTGGTAAATATTTCCAAAAAGTTTTTGTTGTACCCATTCAGAAGGGTCTTCATACTTATGAAGTGCAAGTAAAGCTCCATAGATAAGTGGGTTTAATCCATAGCTAGAATACAGAAAATATCAAAATTAGGACTGCCATCCTTTGGGCAAGATATACTCAAACATAGTTGCATTCTTTGATCATAAGAATGGAAATTTTAGAACTTCAAGAAAAAGGTGACCAACCAAAATGGTTTTTATTAGTCCTGCATGACAGCTTTCTGCTGAAAGAGAATTTCTTCTAACATCCAAACAAAGTAGGAAATATAGGCTGACTTTCCTTACTTGACTCTGTATGTGAACAATGAAGGGGCTTGTTTTAAGACTAACTTCCTGGCATAACAAGAAGACTGCTTCAAAAAGGAGAAGATATTCTAAACCATTGTATTACTCCTCTGGGGCATGCACTGCCACATCCAGCCATGATATTATTACCTCATTTGGGGATCTGACACACACACACACAAATTTCAAAATGAGAATTTTCATGGAAATTTCACAAACATGACATTTTCTTTTCTCTTGTTATATTATGTATAATTTATCTTCATGGAAAGAGGCCCAAATATCTTAGCAAGCTTGCTTAATACTCAGTTTGTTATTTTTATATTCTTAAGAAAAATGAAAAGAGAGATTGTAACATGGTGATGTTAAAAACCCTCCCTGGGCAAACAAATCCTCTAATTTCTTCAAGTTTCACCTCCTATATTCACACACTGAAAGCAGCTACATAAGGCAATAGGGATAATAGATAATACTTTGCTATAAAGCTATGTGTTTCCATTGCCTTCACTCCTATCTTTCTCCTTCCCATTCAAGCAGCGATGTTAGCTTCATATAAGTATTGTCCTCTGAGGGAGGGCAGACACCATCCAGGACCAAAATCCAAGTTCAGTTCTTAAATATATTTCTTAAAACCATAGCAGATAAAGTGTGAAGAGTATACACTTCATCTGGGTAATAGCTGGGCTTTACTGAGAAAAAAGGAGGACTGATGTTTCCAAAGATGGTATTAAGTATCAATAACCAAGCTTAGAATACCAAGCAGAGAGTACACACTAGAAACCATAGAGAAGAGTGCACAGTGAATGGAGAAATTATCTCCTCCACCCTAAAAGGTAATAAGTGCTCAACCAGCAGACTTCGAAAGAAAACTTCGGTGGGGAGACTGAAATAAAGCAACTCGTGCTTGTCTTAAGAGCCGCAGATCAATTCCTTACCCAAACTCTTCTTAGACCCATAAATCAAAGATGGTGAAATGAGAGAGAAATCCAGTGTGGGTAGGAGACGTCCCAGAACAGTGGAGTTACTGCTGTGTGTTCCCCAAAGCTTATCTCAGGCAGATTTCACACCTCCGAGCAAATCCCTGAGATGTGTACGGTGCTGGAGGCAACCAAATGTACAGGGAGCAACTTGATAATGACTGAGGCAAGTGTTCCAGAAGATTCTCTTGAAGGGAAGGAAACTCCAGAAAGTCCCTCATACCCCAGAGATGCACAGGACAGTAGCTGAGAATCCTAACCCCCTGAAGGGCTGATAGGGGCTCCGAGGACCGTCAACTAGGAAAGTCCTGCGTTTGAACAACAAAATGCAGAGCACATGAGCCTCACAGCCAGAGCCACAGCAGAGTTCAGGCAGATCAAGCCATCCTTCCCTGGAAGCTACTGGGGTCAGAGGCAACCCAAGAAGCAACCAGACCCCACTCTTTCAATGCCCTGTGGGGAAACTGATCGTGTCTTGGGACAAAAAAAAAAAAATGCTGAAATGGAGGGGCAAGTTTTTAAATTAACTGAACATTTACACAAAAGAGACGGGGTTTAAAACTAAACAGATAGTGGAAATAGTTTTTCAACAATAGTGTAGATGTTGACTTGAGGGCAAATATAGACTAGTACAGAAAATTGCCTTTTTGCACATCCGGGTTGATATTATAAAATTTAAGCAACTATAATATAAAATTCTATACACATATGGGCAGTGAGAAGCAGCTTTTATGGTCTGAAACAATTTTCATGCCATATGTCATAATAGAAGGTCTTCTAGAATCCATGTGTGCCCAACAATAGCCACTGAAGGGAAGCTTACCAGAGTGCCATCGTGTTCCTTCCCCTAAGGATCAGACTTCCTGACTCAAGGTACACCTTAGGTTTTGTTTCTACTATCCCTCTGCTTACTGATCCATCTGTGCTATTAGGCCTGAAAATAATCTGGAAACCTAATCAAAAATCATCATTGTGCTCAGTGCTCTGAACGTTGAGGTAAACAAGGAAACAACAATGTTCACAAGGACCTCAAAAACTGCCAGCAGCTACACACCCACCAGAATGATACAAAGGCAAAGGGGGGCATATGAATCTGGTGAGATGTAAAACAACTGGAACTTCATTTAGTGCTGGCAGGGGTCGGAATAACCACCACTCTGGATATCTGTTTGGGAATGTTTACTCAAGATGAACTTATCCATACCCTTTGACCCAGCAATTCCACTCCAAAGTATGTACCCAACAAAATATGTATCTATGTTTCTTCAAATGATCCATACGTGAGTGTTCAAAGTAACATTACTCATAGTAGTGAAAAACAGCCTACGTTCCCATCAAAAAGGGCTAAACTACACAATTGTGTAATGAAAAAACATTCAACAGTAAGGAAGAATGAATTAAACTGAAATATACTAGTTATGAGTGGATCTTATAAACATGATGTTGAGTCTAGGACACCAGACTCAAATGAGTACAAATAGTATAATTCACTATTTGCAAACTGCACAAAAGACAAAACAAATCTAGAAGACAGGAGAGTGACTAGAGGCTGAAAGGGGGAATGAGAAAGGCATATGGGTTTTATTTCTTGATCTCAGGGCTTTTACTCAGGTGTGTGCTCAGTTTGTAAAAATTCAGTGACTTGTGCATTTATGATAGGCATGCTTATTTGTATCATGCTTTACATTGTGTTATATATTTCATTATATTAACATATATTTTATTATATTCCAGTGAAAAGTTTATAAAAATTAAAATTCCAAAAAATAAATATAAATTGGTATAGGATCCCAGATCTATTTCCACCACTTATTAATGCAGAAACTGAGTTTGCTTCTCCCTGATATTTCCACAGCTTCCAACTAAAACTGTCAAAGTTCTCTACAGCCAACCACATGAATATACAAAGGTTCCTGGAAGCAAAAATAGGCAGGAAATGTCAGAATACTCATATTGCGCTTCCTACCTTCCCGTTTTACTGAAAAGAACTCTGAGAACCCCAAACTGAATTTTTTCTTTTCCATCTCACAAGCTCTAAATTCATAGTCTTAAAAAGCATCATTTCAGAGAGAGACAGGCATACCAGCAGGTGCCATTTCTAATTCCTCCTGGCTACCGTCTGCACAGGCTGCTGAGGGATAAAAGCTGTGATGAGAGCATTCTTTCCACAATTTCATATTCATGGAATTTGTTGTTACTTAACTTTTCACAAATCATTAGGCTGAAGTACCTCTCCATTTTTCCCCCAAATAGTGTCATTTGACCTGGTATCCAGCTTAATACAGCCTCTGCTTTTGAATAGATTTCCTTACAAGTGGCAATCTCTAATAGGGTCATGTCGAGAGGCAACCCGACTGCATACTACCTATTGCACGTTAACGTGATGAAGGTAATTTCAAATGGCATTCAATCAAAAAATCTGAAAATTTTATTAGTGAGGTTGGGGGCTTTCTCTGTTCAGATGAGGCTCATTGCAACTCAACTCCGATATTTTCAACTAAGATTTCAGAGGATGAAATTTTTTAAACTGTGCACGTACTCAATGGTCCACATTGCTTTACAGACCAAATAGTTGGCTGTGCTTTTAGAATATTGAATGCAAATTACTTTTCTTCATCCAAAGAAATACAGCAGACCACTTGTCATTTAATCATCAATGTGGATGATCTCTGAATATGTGAGATAAATTACATGTTAAACCATGAAGATCAAAACATGTGTCTTGGTGGAAAACAATACTACACCTGGAATGTTGTAAAAATATGTGTTCATATTTTGTTACTGCGTACCTCCTTTTTTTAGGATAGAACTGCTTGTGTGAGAAATTGGTTGCAGAAAGGGTTTGGGGAACTGGGATGGACCTGTTTGCCTTTTCCAATCTTTTCAAAGTTAAAAAGGATTTTGGGTAGAATCCAGACTTACTCGGAAAATATGCTGAAATAAACAAGCAATGATGCTATGTTTGAAGTAAGGGCAATGATGGCAAATATCTGCCTTCCCTGAGTACAATGAAGTTCAACCAAACATCAGTTATGTTTTAAGAAATTCATGAACCTAAGTAGATTAGACAAAAACAAAAATGATGTAAAATTGAAATTAGGTTATTATTCAGGCATTTTACAGATCAAGATCCCCTGACAAGTGTGAGTCATTCTGAACTAAGTAGAGTAAGATCATTTAGGTACTGGATTTAGTCTGTTTGTATCTTTACTCTTAAGTGACCTAGCACTGAGCCAGGCTGAGAAGCCTTGCTAGAACTCAGGACAGGAATTCAGATTTCCAATGGTCTTGCTTCTACAACATCAATATCTTTTTTAAAAACTTACTCTTTATTGATACATAATGGATGTACATATTTTCAGGGTGTGTGATAATATATTTATATAATGTGTAAAGATCAAATCAAGGTAATTGAGATATTCATCACCTTAAATATTTATCTTTTCTTTATACTAGAAACATTCAGGTATTCCCCTTCAGTTATTTAGAAATGTACAATATATTGGTGTAAACCGTAGTCACCCTTCCCTGTATAGGAAGAAAGGACAGGGACATCATACAACCTCAGTACCATTTTAACCTCTACTACAGTTTTTATGTTCGCTGAATATTCTGCCAAATGTTGACTCTGTTTTCTTGTGAGCTAAGCCTGAGCTAAACCATGTGCAGCTAAGATGTTGTTCATCTCACCTTTAGACTTTATTCTTCAGACATTCATACATATTTGTTTTCCTAGTTCTTTTTATTATAAAAGATAAAACTTGAGTAACTGGGGGAAAATGTGAAATTTTTTTCTTCCATTTTCAACAAACATTTATCATCATCATTTTGGTTCCTGCTTTATCATTACTTTTCACATGCATGTATAATTTTACATTATAGTAATTACATAAATCATATAAAATTGTATCCAATATGCAGATATATATTTAAGGGCATTTCTAGACTATGCAAAAATATGGAAGCTTAACACTGAAATCTCAACGATGGCCCCTAAATTTTGTAGGCTTGGTATGATAATATACTGGAACCCTTATTCTTTAATGAGCCTGTAATCAGTGGCTTTCACGTTTTGGTGTAAAATATCTCCACGGCCCTTTCCCCCTTAGTTGAATTCTAGAAGCAGATAGACATTTGAAGAAAGCAGCTCCAAAAGGCACAGCCTGGCTGAAAAATAGGTGCTAGACAGCTTTTCCCTCTGTTTGTCCTGCCAATTTTTCTTCTTTACACGTAGAGGAATAATACTGGACCAGGAACATTCAATTTTCCCTTCTGGGGGATTTATTCATTCCTAAGCTCTGAGCACATACTGTTCTGGAATGTCTACTTTGCTGAAACTGATTTCCTCCCTCTTCCTAACCTACTGTGTTAGCCAGTTTTGCATCACTAATGAAGAAATACCTGAGGCTGGATAATTTATGAAGAAAAGAGATTTATTTGCTTCATGGTTTTGCAAGCTGTACAAGAAGCATGGCGCCAGCATCTGCTTCTGGTCAGGACCTCAGGAAGCTTTAAATCATGGTGGAAGGGGAAGGGGAAGCAGATGTGTCATATGGTGAGGTGGAAGGAAGCAAGAGAGAGGAGGAGGTGGCAAGCTATTTATTTATTTATTTATGTTTTTTTGAGACAGAGTCTTGCTCTGTCACCCAGGCTGGAGTGCACTGGTGCTATGTCGGCTCATTACAACCTCCACCTCCAAAGTTCAAGAGATTCTCATGCCTCAGCCTCCCGAATAGCTGGGACTACAGGCGTGTACCACCACGTCTGTCTAATTTTTTGTATTTTCAGTAGAGACAGGGTTTCACCATGTTGGCCAGGCTGGTCTTAAACTCCTGACCTCAGGTGATCTTCCCACCTCCACCTCCCAAAATGCTGGATGACAGACGTGAGCCACCATGCCTGGCCTTAAGCTCTTTTAAACAACCAGCTCTCCCACAAATTAATAGAGTAACAATGCAGTCATTACCACAGGGAGAGCACTAAGGGACTCATGAGGGATCCGCCCCATGACCCAAACACCTCCCACTGGGCTCCACCTCCCATATGAGAGGTCAAATTTCAACAAGAGATTTGGAAGAGACCAATATTCAAACCATATTGCTACCTTTGATTTTCCCCCTGCAAAGCCCAAAAATCACACAAAAATAAAAAATGGCAAGGGCTCAATAGGGAAGGAATAAAGGAACAAGAAGGCTGGGACGAGAGGTCGGTACTGAGGAAGTCCAGTCTGGAAATTTTTGAGTCTTAGGAAAACCCGTCTTTATGTTCAAGAGTAAAATTATCCCCATTCATTTAACTAGGTCTTGTCTTAACAGAAAGGGAGTCTATCTTCTCAAATAACTGGGCCGAGCCAGCAGTTCATATCTATCTTGTGTTTTTTAATTGAAAATTATTATTAGTATCACTTGATTTACTTTTACTGTTCATAACCAATATCGTGAAAAAGCTCAAATTTGAACAGTTAATGAAAATAATTAGGAAACGACTTCAGATTTTTTTTAAGTTACTTGCACCCTATTAAGCAAGTAGTGATATTGTGAAATATTGGAGTCTATCACTGTTGTTTGTTTAATAGACCATGGCTCCATTTTGTTTTATTGTTTATGCAGAACATTTTGACTTTCAGAGAGAAGAGATTTTCACAAATGCTATTTAAAATGCTTTGTAAGGAGAGTTTCTTTGGAGCTGCCAAACCAAGTTTGATTTGGAGAGTCAGTTAAGTATGCCTGGAAGAAACTGAAATAAGCTTTGCCGTCACTCCAGGCATGGCCATGGTCTCTAGAGGAAAATCCCTTAACAAGATGAATTTTAAAATAATTAAGCCAGTTGTGTAATGGAAATAAAGAAAATTTGCCCAAGGTCAAAACATCGTTTTTTTCCAAAATAATATGTCATGTGTCAAATAACTCTAAACCTTATTTTTAACATCTTTTTTTTTTTTTTTAAACAAAGTCTCGCTCTTGTCCCTGAGGCTGGAGTGCTATGACGCAATCTCGGCTCCCTGCAACCTCAGCCTCCTGGGTTCAAACGATTCTCCTGCCTCAGCCTCCCAAGTAGCTGGGATTACAGGCATGCACCACCACGCCCGGCTAATTTTTGTATTTTTAGTAGAGACGGGGTTTCACCATGTTGATCACGCTGGTCTGGAATTCCTGACCTCCTGATTCACCTGCCTCAGCCTCCCAAAGTGCTGAGATTACAGGCATGTGCCACCATGCCCGGCTAATTTTTGTATTTTTAGTAGAGACAGGGTTTCACCATGTTGGCCAGGCTGGTCTGGAACTCCTGACCTCGTGATCCACCTGCCTCAGCCTCCCAAAGTGCTGGAATTACAGGTGATGGGCACCGTGCCCGGCCTGCATATATTTTTATATGATGTCTGTTTCAGTGTAAAGACCATGTGAAAGCTCAAACCACTTGGAAATTTTCTCATTGAATGTCTTCACACATTCTTTTGTAAAGCCAAGAAGTAAATAACAGGGCTGAGATGATGAAATCTTGAGGTCAATTAATTGTTCCCAGATCTCACAGCAAAATCATAACAGAATTGACTTTGCCTCAAACCTCAGTTTTCTTTTGCCCATCCTGTGTTACCACTGGAGACCTGTAATAAAACCTTAGGTATTTAATTGGTAGGTAGCATTTCTCCTACATACTAACCAGTGGTGCCCACAATGCTCACCCCATTCTCATGCCTACAATAAAGAAGAACTGACAGTATTATTATCCTATCAGCACAAAAGGATCAAGAATTTTTTTTCATATTTTGCCCCACTGAATCACCAAAAAACGCTATAGTAGGAATTATGATTCCCTTCTTATAAGTGAGCTGAGACTGAAATGTAGAATAGTCTAATGTGATTAAAAATTACTGGGCAAGAATTCAAATATTTATTTGCCTGATTCAAAACCTGTGCTCCCTCATCAGGCTTTCCATAGAAAGAAGCTTATTATCTTCCCTTTGCCAAAGAAGTGTTTATAACACTTGCAGAATAACTCTCAGAGGATCTCACAACATATGGAAATTTCCCAGCAAGGTGGTTCCACATTTGCTTCCATGGCCTCAAGCTTTAGGACACATTCATTCTCACTAGGAAGAAAGAGATCTCTGTAGGTTGGTGTGGGGGATTTGAGGGTGCTACTTACAGAACTTACATTCTTCCTCTTCTAAGTGTTCTAAACAGTTAACAAGAAGATTAAGATGTAACATCATCTTCATTATCTGTTGTTTACACTGCCAGTTGGGAATCCATTATCTATTCTCTTCATTCTTCCTAACAGAACCCCAGTTTTGTTCAGTTATCTATGTCTCCTTTGCTACCAAAATCCATAGTTTCTACATCAATTGGCTTTATAGTCCTCCATTAAGACTTCAGTGCTGTGCAGCTATTGAAACTGAAGCCAGTTTTCCACACCAACTTCCACTGAGTATGTTATTAAGGTGAACTTGTAGCCTTTTTAAGCTTCAGATAAGGCTCCATATGCCTCTTGGGGCTAAATGCTGGTTGTGAGCCAAATAGAAATCAGAAATAGAAATGGTTCTCTATGCTACATTCAGACTTTGCGATTATTAGTTGCAATCAATGATTAAGGAGAAAAGGCCAGGGCACAAGATGGTCAGGATGGGAACTTCCTGATACAGGAGAGGGAACATTATCCCTGGGATTGAGAGAACAGGAGATGCCTTTGAAAAAAAATCACTGGGGTTTGCCAATATTGAAGGCAGAAGAGCTGTATGATATAACTGAAAAGTACTGTGAAATTGGCTTCAAATGACCTGAGCCAGAGTCCTAGGTATGCCATTTACTGGTTGTGCAACTTTGGTAGATTACTTTTCCTGACCCTCAGTCTTTGAAAGTGTTAATTAAGATTATCAATATTCAGCAGGATCATGAGAGAGCCTAGATGGTCAATCATCTTCCATTCAAGTTCTGTTTTGTCTGTATCCCTTTTATCTCCTATTTTGACACCAGTGACCTTGTGCTTATGTTCATCATAAGTGCCATCTGGACCAGGGCTTCCATAGATTTATGGGCCACCACCCCCTGGCAGCCCCTGAGCCTGGAATGTTAGACATGCCAATAACAACCCCACATACATCATTCATGTTCTGTTTTAGTTTATAAAATGCATTCATATACATTCTCATTTGTCCAACATAATAATCCCATGGGACTAGTAGTATTAAGACTTTCATAGATGATGATAATGAGACTTAGAACATAGAAGCAACATTCCCAAAGCCACCAGGCCAGGAAATGGCAGAACAGGATAAAAATCTAGCCTGCTTGACCAAAGTCCTGTGTTCTTCATGGTAGCTTAGAAGTGAAGTTCAACACTATGGAACCAGGTTCTGTAGTATACGCTACTGGTGCCTTGCTTTGATCTGTTGTACCTGGCTGGCATCCCCACTCTCTCTCCTTCTGCGAGGGTTGGCTGCAACAGCAACCTTGTCCAGGTAACAGGTCTCCACAAAGTGAGCTACCTCGCACCAGAACATACCTGTGAGGTTATGTCTTCTACTTCAGGGGCAGTCAACAGCCCATGAGAGATAGATTCTGGGGTACAAATTTCTGCCCCCATGCCTTAAGGTGGGACTACCCTGTACTATTACTTACATTCCAGAGCTCCTCATAGAATCAGAGGCTAGACTTTAACTGAACTTCAATTGAATAACTGCCTAATTTATTTGATTACTTTACATTTCTTGGCTCACTCCCTCACAGGTCTCTCCTGAGCACATGCCTTCATAAACCAGCTGCACAAGTAATTGCATCTGGGGATCTGCTTCAAGAGAAACTTACCTAAAGCAAGAACGGGCTCTGACTTCAGGATACCTAGGATTCTAACCTTGTTCCATTACTTATCAACCATACGACCTGGAGAAAATTATATACCTGCTCTAAGCCTCAATGTCCTCATTTGAAATACACAGATAATAGTAGGATCTCCCTTATAAGATTATTGAAAATCTAAACTGGTTATCAATGGAAAAAGCTTCTCTCAGTGCTTGGCAAATAGGAAGCACTTAATAAGTGTTTTCCAGTATTTTTATGATTATCATCATTACTCTAATTCCCAAGGCACCCACAACCCATGCTAGTCCTCTGGAGATATAATTTCTCCAGCTCAACTCAATCAGGCTGCTGGCTGCTGAGAAAAATAGCAGAGCTGCATTTGTAGAGATGGCAGCCAGGAGCTTGTGATAGAATGGGGAGAAACAGAATTCGAATGAGCAGAATCAGGAACTCTGTATATTTCTGGACGTTTTCTGCTCATTCAAATAAATTTTGTAGACGTTTCTGGAGTTCCATGTGCCAGGAACTGTGATAGGTTCTAGATATCCAAGAAGGAATTGTATTTTATACTTTGCAAGGGGGGGTTCATTCTGTGATGTAATAGTAACTCCCTCAAGCATTGGATACATAAAAGTATAAATGCTGGCTGTTAAATTATGACACACTGGAAATTCTCAGGTAAGTTTCTAGGAAATGAAATACATAGGCTTGGGGATACATCTAGCTGGGATATGATTAAGTTAGTTATATAAGCTTGTAATGGATTATATTTTTAGAAGTACCAATACTTCTAAAATTTTTGCTTTTAGCAAACTAGGTATCATCTGAATACACTGGCTGATACTTAATAAGAATTAGAACTATATTTTGCTTGTTGTTTAAGTAAATATCTTGTTACATGCTTGTTTAATGCTTGTGAAAACCATTCCAAACAATCTCTTTAGAATAAGAGTCTAATTACACATTTATCATTAAAATTACAGTGAGCTAATTGCCTTGGAGATATCTTTATCTCTCTTGCAGCTTGCTTAATCCTAATGCATGTTTTCAATAATCATTTGTTATTTAATTAACTAATTAACAAACAATACCTGTCCTATGGAAAATCCTAAATTAAACACTTGAGACTTTTTAATTGAATGCTCAATAACCCAATATAGCCCTTAATATTAGACCTTTTAAATATTGCTAAGATTCTATTGAATCACACATTAGTTTGCTCCTGTTATCTTTGGGGCTTAATTGGTAGAAACAAAAAGGGGCAGTTGATAATACACAAGGGGTAGCCAGCACAGCAAGGCTCTCATGAAATAGAAAATATCCATTAATGGCTGCCAAGAAACAAAGTGGGCCAGCCTTCCTGGCCAGCAACAAAGGCAGGCCATTCATTTAGGATACTCATGTCCTTGTCCCATGATATTAAAAAGCACAGTTTGAAAGATAAACACAAATAGGCCCCAAAATCCATAGTGTGTGATGCAAAGTAGACACCCGTGCTATCCTGTCCCCACAGTATTCTGTGCTGCTTTGAGCATAACTGGAGGGAGGTATTTCCTCCTATGGTAATAGCATTTACAGATGGACTGAAGAGTATTCCTTTGTATCATATCCCTCCAGATTGACTGTTTTCCAAGTTTCCAGTCTAGCCCCCTCCATTTCAACTTTGAAAATGCTGCTAGAAAGAATTTCCTAAAAAGCAGATCTAATTATCAACTTCTCATTATCACTTTCCCATCACTTTTCAAGGGTTGCTTTCTAACCTCTTTGGTGTTTTCAGCATTCCATATTCTGAGCCCTGGTTTCCTAACGACTTCCTGACATCTCCAGTCATTTTTCCCTGTACCTTTTATTCCATTAGTGTCATTACCTTAAGTTTTCATGCTCATCTATTTTGTACATTACATGCTTCTCTCTCTGGTTGTCCTACGCTTTTTTCAAGGGTATATTCTATTCTCTGCTCTTCAAACCTGGAGTCAGACGTACAGCCATCTTTTTCTATGTTTCCTAAATTATCTCCATTGTATAGTGCATACCAAATTGTATTATAATTTTTCATATGTCTATCTCCCAATTTAGACTATGGATATTAGAATTTACTTTCTCCTACCTTCAGTATTTGCATACGTAAAGTGGGTGGAAAAATTATACTTCACTGATAAGATTATTGTGAGACTTATATGGTATACTGCATATAAAATGCCAATAACAATGCCCGAGATATGGTAATTTCTAAATCATTGTGGGTTTATTCTATTTTATTTATTATACTTTAAATTCTAGGTTACATGTGCACAATGTGCAGGTTTGTTACATATGTATGTATACATGTGCCATGCTGGTTTGCTACACCCATTAACTTGTCATTTACATTAGCATTACATTCCTAATGCTATCCCTCCCGCCTCCCCCCACCCCACAACAGGCCCCGGTGTGTGATGTTCCCCATCCTATGTCCAAGTGTTCTCATTGTTCAGTTCCCACCTATGAGTGAGAACACATGGTGTTTGGTTTTCTGTCCCTGTGATAGTTTGCTCAGAACAATGGTTTTCAGCTGCATCCATGTCCCTACAAAAGATATGAACTCATCCTTTCTTATGGCTGCATATTATTCCATGGTGTATATGCGCCACATTTTCTTAATCCAGTCTATCATTGATGGACATTTGGGTTGGTTCCAAGTCTTTGCTATTGTGAATAGTGCTGCAATAAACATACGTGTGCATGTGTCTTTAGAGCAGCATGATTTATAATCTTTTGGGCATATACCCAGTAACGGGATGGCTGGGTCAAATGGTATTTCTAGTTCTAGATCCTTGACGAATCGCCACACTGTCTTTCACAATGGTTGAACTAGTTTACAGTCCCACCAACAGTGTAAAAGTGTTCCTATTTCTCCACATCCTCTCCAGCACCTGTTGTTTCCTGACTTTTTAATGATTGCCATTCTAACTGGTGTGAGATGGTATCTCATTGTGGTTTTGATTTGCATTTCCCTGATGGCCAGTGATGATGAGCATTTTTTCATGTGTCTGTTGGCTGTATGAATGTCTTCTTTTGAGAAATGTCTGTTCATATCCTTTGCCCACTTTTTGATGGGGTTGTTTGTTTTTTTCTTGTAAATTTGTTTGAGTTCTTTGTAGGTTCTGGATATTAGCCCTTTGTCAGATGAGTAGATTGCAAAAATTTTCTCCCATTCTGTAGGTTGCCTGTTCACTCTGATGGTAGTTTCTTTTGCTCTACGGAAGCTCTTTAGTTTAATTAGATCCCATTTGTCAATTTTGGCTTTTGATGCCATTGCTTTTGGTGTTTTAGACATGAAGTCCTTGCCCGTGCCTATGTCCTGAATGGTATTGCCTAGGTTTTCTTCCAGGGTTTTCATGGTTTTAGGGCTAACATTTAAGTCTTTAATCCATCTTGAATTAATTTTTGTGTAAGGTGTAAGGAAGGGATCCAGTTTCAGCTTTCTACATATGGCTAGCCAGTTTTCCTAGCACCATTTATTAAATAGGGAATCCTTTCCCCATTTCTTGTTTTTGTCAGGTTTATCAAAGATCAGATGGTTGTAGATGTGTGGTATTATTTCTGAGGCCTCTGTTCTGTTCCATTGGTTTATATCTCTGTTTTGGTACCAGTACCATGCTGTTTTGGTTACTGTAGCCTTAATATAGTTTGAAGTCAGGTAGTGTGATGCCTCCAGCTTTGTTCTTTTGGCTTAGCATTGCCTTGGCAATGCGGGCTCTTTTTTGGTTCCATATGAACTTTAAAGTAGTTTTTTCCAATTCTGTGAAGAAAGTCATTGGTAGCTTAATGTGGATGGCATTGAATCTATAAATTACCTTGGGCAGTATGGCCATTTTCACGATATTGATTCTTCCTATTCATGAGCATGGAATGTTCTTCCATTTGTTTGTGTCCTCTTTTATGTTATCTTTTATGTCATTTTATGTGAGAGATCTGCTGTTAGTCTGATGGGCTTCCCTTTGTGGGTAACCCGACCTTTCTCTCTGGCTGCCCTCACCATTTTTTCCTTCATTTCAACTTTGGTGAATCTGACAATTATGTGTCTTGGAGTTGCTCTTCTCAAGGAGTATCTCTGTGGTGTTCTCTGTATATCCTGAATTTGAATGTTGGCCTGCCTTGCTAGGTTGGGGAAGTTCTCTTGGATAATATCCTGCAGAGTGTTTTCCAACTTGGTTTCATACTCCCCATCACTTTCAGATACACCAATCAGACGTAGATTTGGTCTTTTCATCTAGTCCCATATTTCTTGGAGGCTTTGTTTGTTTCTTTTTACTTTTTTTTTCTCTAAACATCTCTTCTCGCTTCATTTCATTCATTTGATCTTCAATCACTAATACCCTTTCTTCCAGTTGATCGAATTGGTTACTGAAGCTTGTGCATTCATCACGTAGTTCTCATGCCATGGTTTTCAGCTCTATCAGGTCGTTTAAAGACTCCTCTACACTGGTTATTCTAGTTAGCCATTTGTCTAATCTTTTTTCAAGGTTTTTAGCTTCCTTGCAATGGGTTCGAACTTCCTCTTTTAGCTCAGAGAAGTTTGATCATCTGAAGCCTTCTTCTCTCAACTCGTCAAAGTCATTCTCTGTCTAGCTTTGTTCCACTTGTGAGGAGCTGTGTTCCTTGGAGGGGGAGAGGCGCTCTGATTTTTAGAATTTCCAGCTTTTCTGCTCTGTTTTTTCCCCATCTTTGTGGTTTTATCTACCTTTGGCCTTTGATGATGGTGATGTACAGATGGGCTTTTGGTGTGGATGTCCTTTCTGTTAGTTAGTTTTCCTTCTAACATTTCCCCTCAGCTGCAGGTCTGTTGGAGTTTGCTTGAGGTCCACTCCAGACCCTGTTTGCCTGGGTATCTGCAGCAGAGGCTGCAGAACAGCGAATGTTGCTGAACAGCAATTGTTGCTGTCTGATCGTTCCTCTGGAAGCTTGGTCTCAGAGCGGTACCCAGCCATGTGGGGTGTCAGTCTGCCCCTACTAGGGTATGCCTCCCAGTTAGGCTACTCGGGGGGTCAGGGACCCACTTGAGGAGGTAGTCTGTCCGTTCTCAGATCTCAAACTCCATGCTGGGAGAACCACTACTCTCTTCAAAGCTGTCAG